TTAGGGAGGAGTGTGGTGTCCCTGACCGGAGCATGTCTCGTGCTCCGCTTGTTAGTCTGTCGCGTCAGCTGTTTACTCAGCTTCCGAGAACTTGACCGTGACTTCCTTCTCTTTAGTCACGTATCTTTACTTTATTTTATTAATAATCTTTTATTACTTTTATTCTTTCTTGATTACTTTTCCTTGAGTTCTTTCCCTGATTCTAATGCTTTGCTTTAATCAGCTCTTTCTCAATCTTTTCTGTTCTACTTTACTTGTTTTATCTTTTAATATATTTAGAGATTGGTCGGGTCACGACAGAACCATTCTCCCAATTACAAAATATATGAAATATATTATATCAAAAATGTAATAGTAATAATACGCAGAACAAGAATGAATCACCCATGTTGTCAGATGATAAATGTTGTATAATGTAATTTCGAGACAGAAAGAGACTGTCCGATAAAATATACTACATTAAAAAATAACTGGCAATATATAATTATACCGAATTTGAGTGAGTCACCCATGTTGTACAGAAGGCAAATGTTACACACGGATGTTCGAGACAGAAATCGACATTATATATTTTATCGGACAGTCTTTTTCTGTCTCGAAATTACATTATGTAACATTTACCATCTGACAACATGAGTGACTCACTCTTGTCCTGCGTATTATTACTATTACATTTTTGATATAATATATTTCATATATTTTGTAATTGCGCTGAGGGTGGTCCGAAAAAAGGACCGAAACGTATGCTTGTTGTAATTTTGTCTATCACGTAGTTAAAATATCAATGTTATTTGATTATAATAAAACATATGTGCACAAATTACCGCGCTGGCTTTTGATTGTCTTTTATATCCTTTGTATGTTAAATTAAAAAGTTATTAAATTTAACATTATATATCATGTACTTGTTAAATATAAAATTTCTTTTCATCAGTTTGCAATGCAGAAAAATAATCTGTGAACATAGAGTTTTTTTTTCACGAATACATATAATGTAGCTGTGAATATCATCGGCATTTTGCAGAAACTTACAAGTTGACACATTGTTTATTCCATTGTTTCAGCTTTTGTCAAATATTATCTCTTTTTGGGAAGCTCCTTCTGGTTAAATGTAATGAATTTCGATATGTGGCGAACATTTAGGTAAGCGGTCAAATATTCCATATAATATTTTATGTTAGTTATAAATAATATAATGTAAATTATATTTTAGTTATACGGTTGTGAATTTTTATAAGATTAAATCATATACAATATGACAATATGTTCATTTGTACTATATATTTATATATAAGCTTTTCATTATATGTATATACTTGCAACGATATGAAAAAGCAGCAACATAAACGACATAATGTTTTGAATAGAATACAGAATATTTACTCATGTCATGTCATTTTTTCCTGAGAATGTTAAATACTGGGCTCGAGACATTATGTTTTAGTTCACACACTCACAGAAATCAGGCTGCCTTTTTATAAGTTAATATGTGTATACAGCGCTTTTTAATATTCTTTAAAATTTTTATAAAGTCTTCGCAGAAAATTGATTTTTCCATTTTATAAGATTGTATTTATTTCTTTTTTAAATAAAGTAATATTGTTGAATTGATATTCTAAATTATATATGAAATTTCATTATATTGTCTAATCTCAATATAACATTACATATTTTTTCTCAATTTCTTTTTGTTTTAATGTTTCAAGAACTTAAAGCTAATATCATTTTACTTTTCTTCCATTTCTTTTCTAATAATAAACGTAAATACGCATCAAATTTTTTAACAAAAGTTTTATTTTTTCTGTTAAAATTTCATCCGCTAAATAAAAGCTAAAATCAAAATTGCCACTATCATGACTGGTACGTGCAAACCATATGTAAATACATACATTTTTATCATATTGTGATGTTAGATAAAGTAAATCAATTTTTATAGTTATATATGGTAGATTTTTTCAAAAATTTTGATCAAAAGCATATTTATTTTAATGTGCATTTGCATTACGATTTCTTCTCTTTTTATCCGCTATATATGAAGTATAAACTGCGCTTTACAGAAAATTACGCTCGTTACAAAGAAATATGAAGCAACAAAAAAGAAAAAAGTTAATCATGTATTCTGTCTTTGCGTGGGGAGGCCCTTTTATCCTTGCTATCATTTGTGGTATCATGGAGTTTGTACCTGGCGTACCAAAAAACTTCCGACCGAGATTTGGTGACATCAATTGTTGGTTTAATAGTATGTAAATGCCATATTGACAAATAATTCATTTAATGCTAGCACATAAAAATAAAATATAATATAATTATAAATTCAAGTATTTTTCTTGAAATTAAAAATATGTTTTATGTACTTATACAACGCGATTTAATATGAGAAGCAATAAGATATTCATGTCTTTTATCACATTTTCAGATGAAATGGCATATTTATTGTATTTTTACGGGATTGAAACAATCTCTATTATCAGTAGCATTTGCTTATTTATCTGCATGGCACGAAATATTGCGCACTACGAAAAGGCCATTGCTCATTGTCTGAGAGATTCGGAGAACCGGCGTTATAATAACAACAAGAATCGGTATGTAAGCAATATCTTTGCATCGATGATAAATTAGCGATATCTTTGCATCGATGCGTGATACATCATCTTATTAATAGAATATATATCCCAAAATATTAATAAATAAAAATTTATCAACAGCATTATATTCATGTTTAACAAAAGAGAAAAAAAAAGAGAGACATATTATTATTTTGAAACGAGCACATGCACGCACATAAATACGCACACACACACATCTTTATGTGGCAGTGTGTTTTTATAATTAATCTTAAAGAAACACATATATTGCCGCCGCGGTAAAAGTTCACCTACACTAGTAAATGAAGGAATGGGTTTTCTCGAACTAATTATCATTAATTATGATTAATTATGATTAATTATGATGATTACAGGGGTTTGGGAGCGAGGAAAATTGGGAGCAGGGAAAACAAAACCGAAAAATAAAATTTCTTGTAAACCTATCTGAAATTTTGCAAATATAGATGTCGTCACACCGAAAACACCGGGCGATGGGAGTGGATCTTGCTTCGCGTGGAAAATTGTAAACTCATGTGGAATTTTACAAATATAAACCTTGTCACACTGAAAGCACCGGGCAACTTTAATTTCAAAACTGAAATTAGGTTTAGGTCAGATTAAAATTTTTTCGGGATGAGGGTGCAGGGGAAGGAGCGATGCCCCGCCCACGTGTTCGATTTATTACACATAAACAAATGAATCTGCTTATGTTTTATTAAATGTACAAAGTGTCTGAAAAATTACGTTTTGAATTACTTGGTTTTAACCGATTTTCCTCGCCCCCAACTCTCTATAATCATCATAATTAATTATAATTAATGATAATTAGTTCGAAAAAATTCATTCCTCTATTTACCAGTGAACTCCTACTGCCGCCGCTTCAATCGCGTCATCTCAAGAAAATTTGTTTAAAAATAATAAACAATATTAAAAATAAAGAAAAATGTGAATATCTCTAATTTTAAAAAAAATCACATTTTTTATATAAAATTTTTTTAATAAAATTTTACTTTACTCTTATTTTCTCTTTCTTTCTTTCTTTCAAAGCTTAAAATTTGTTTTATATTTGGTACATTTATTGCTACCATTGAAAGGTATTTGAAATTAACAATAATATAATTTTTTGAAAATATTTATCTTTATTAATATATATAACTTCGAGTATTTTCAATTATAAACTTCTCAATTTTCATAACCGCGAGAATATTAAATATTTATTTTTTTTAATTATTCAATTATTTTGCAGCTTTGATCTGCAGCTGAAGATATGCACAGTGATATTTATCGTGATGTGCATAAAATTGGTCATGGTTACTATCATCATTACTATCAATATTATTACTATTAATATTATTTATATGGATATTATCTATGTGTTAATTTCTTGTACTTACTCTACGCTGGACTTCATAGAGCAGTTCTGCATGTTTATCATATTTGTATGGAAGAGGAAGATTAAGCTTTTGTTACTGAAGCGATTCGGTTGTTAGAATTACGGAATGTTTTTAGAACTCAATACGCTGTCGCATCCTCAAATAATTGCACTACTCCGTCAGTGATGATTTCCCTGTGGGAAAATATCAATTCCTAGAAAAGTGAATCATAGCGCAAAGAGTTCGTCCTATTCGACCGATTTATAGTACTATGACGTGCGATAAAAAGATTTTATTATAGATCAAAGATTGATGGTTAACCAGTGATTAACTACAGTGCTAAACAATTTTTAAATCGATAACTAATTTTATATTATTGTACGGTGGTGCATGCACATATTAGTTAAAACATGTAAATGAAAGAAAATTGCAAACGTATGTATTTTCGTCTAGGATCTTCTGAGTAAACATCTGTGGACATCGTTGATTTTGATACACGTTAATTTTGTTGAAAAAAACTTTTTGTCTTTCAAAAGTGTCTGAATCGATTTATGAACAAGATTAATTATAAAAAAGATTAAGATTGTTAGCAAAATTAATGTGCTTGATAGACAGCAATTGTTACAAGCTCGAATACTTTGTACTAGGTCAGTAATGACTTTTCTGCAGAAAAAAATCAATCTCTACAAGCAGACAAACCGCCGCCGTAAAAAGATTGCTTGATGAGATCTGTCTAATTATTTCTACAATGCACAAAAAGAAAGTTTTAGTGTAAATTAGAGATCAGGAGTTAAACAGCGGTCAACTGTAATGTCGAAACTTAATTCTTTAATAAAAAATTATTTCTATATTGTCATCCATTAATGATTTTGATTACGAGACGCAGAAATAATAGATTTCAAAGCTTTACGTTGCAGAAGCATATTATCTTCTAGTATTATAGTATAAAAATCAACGTAATATTAATTAGCTGTTGGGTGTGACTTATTGAACTTGACTACTATTTACCTGAAGTCGAAAAAATTTTTCTGTGTCAGTTGTCATGTGTTGATTTTCTATTTAAGACGCTGAGATAGTTTAATTATATATATGTATATGTATATACTATGCTATGTGTAACATTTTTCGCGCCCGTTGCCTGACTTCGTTTTCAATATATTTGTATTTTGCATTCTTAAAAGCTCATGGTAAAAACTATTTAGAAAAATATATTATCTCAATCTGTATAAAACAGTGTTATTTTAAGATTTAATAAAGTAAATTTATATCAAAAAATATTGATGTGCAAAATGGTTTTTTAAATTTTCTACTAAAATAATGGTTTAAAAAAATTGCGCAAATTAAGAATAAAAACTTATGCTTCTTTTTTTTAAAAAGGAACATTCTAACCGATAAAACTATTGTACAAAATAGTTGTTTTTTAATTTCCTACAAAAATAATATTAAAAATTAAAAAATTTATATAAAAATTGTAGATTAAAAATTAATACAAAATAAAAAGATAAAATAAAAAGTTTTAATTGAAATAACTTGGCGCTGCTAAGTTGAACAATATAATAATGAAATTGGCGCGTGACTTGGCGTGAGATATTACCGTGTCTCTTGATAATTCTATCGAAAATGTAACAGCTTTTAATTACAGTATTAAATATCTAAATATCTTGTAACTTACGCAGTCACTACATTAATCAAATTACTAATTAACACAAAATCCCTTGCTATTGCTACGCGTGACTTGTTGCAGCGCGTGACTTGATACGAAATATTACCGTTTCTCTTGATAATTTCTATCGAAAATGTGACAATATTCAATTAAAATATTAAATATATATATATATGTCTCTGTATACACATTGTAACTTTCCCTATTGCTGCGTTAATCAAATTATTATAAATAAAATACAATATATAAAATAAAATACAATAAATTGATTAATTAATAAAGTTTATCAAAAAACTTTTACTTTTAGATCATCATGTATACATGACTTTATAGTAGATAAATTGCAGTTTGTCAACACTGTTGGACGACTCATCATACCTATGGTAGTGCCACATTGCTCGTGCCAGTATATGTTTCTCGCGCTCTTATCTCTCATACGTTTGAGAAGAGACATTGCGACTAAACTGGATACAGAGCCTGCTTCATCGAATCCAGTGTCAGTCAGCTGGAAATCGAACATAATTGTTAACGATTACAATATTTGATTCACAAAAGTTTCAATGATTTGCCGAAAGAAAAAAAATAAAAACAAAAAATAATTACATTCCTACATTTGCAATTAATATACCTGTATTCACTTTCTTCATTCAAACAATATAAGTTATATAAATATAAGTAATATATTATAGGATATTCAAATATATACATAATTCTGAACCAACATATATGATATAGTGAGAATTAACGCTAAACACAATTAGAAGTATTGAATTATTTAATATCATTATTGAATTTTCAAAAATTGTTGGACTACATTAAAAAATAAAATGTAAAATAAATTTTCCTCGAATATTAAGCGTAATAATTTATTCGGCTACCACAAGACAAATCAGAAACACGCGTATATGTCAAAAAAATATGAAGAGGGAAAACACTACTTTCTTAAAATATTATATAATATTATATTTTAAAAAACCAACATTTATGTTATATCTTGTATAACAGTGCTGGGATTTACTTGCACATTTCGGCCCGATTCCGTGGCTCACGCCTATTGCCCCCCACTCACCGCTCGTACGTTAGCAACGAGTCGCCAGATACGCGTAACTAAGGAGCACGACGCTTTGTCTCAGGAGCGTCCGTATATAAGAATGTCCAAATATAATAATAAGACAA